GGGTCCCCTGCTTGTTGGGACCTGCTCTGGCCTGGCTTCTGATCGGTCAAGGCAGGGCTTAGTTAGGAGGGGTCTGGGAGGCCCTCTCAGCAGATGCTCCAGGCTGGGCTCCCCTGATCCTCTTTCTCTCTGCAGGGTGCTGGGGGCCATGGTGCTGCAGCTCTGGGCCCTGGCCTTCCTGGGCCTGGTGGGCCTCGGTACAAGCCTTCGGCCCCGCAGGCTGGACGTGTTCAACAGTGAGACGGAGCTGAATCACCTGGTGGTGGATGAGGCCTCAGGTGTGGTGTATGTGGGGGCTGTGAACACACTGTACCAGCTGAGTGCCGACCTTCGCCTCCAGCAGCGGGCTGTCACGGGCCCTGCGTTGGACAATAAGAAATGCACACCACCCATCGAGCCCAGCCAGTGCCACGAGGCAGTGTACACCGACAACATCAACCAGCTGCTGCTGCTCGATCCACCCGGGAAGCGCCTGGTAGAGTGTGGCAGCCTCTTCAAGGGCATCTGTGCCCTGCGGGCCCTAAGCAACATCTCTGTGCTCCTCTTCTACGAAGATGGCAGTGGTGAGAAGTCCTTTGTGGCCAGCAACGATGAGAGTGTAGCCACAGTGGGGCTGGTCAGCTCCACACGGCCGGAGGGAGAGCGAGTGCTGTTTGTAGGTAAGGGCAACGGGCCTCACGACAACGGGATCATCGTGAGCACCCGCCTGCTGGACCGGGCCGAGGGCAGGGAGGCCTTCGAGGCCTACTCTGACCATACCACCTTCAAGGCTGGCTACCTGTCCACCAATACACAGCAGTTTGTGGCGGCGTTCGAGGATGGCCCCTACGTCTTTTTCATCTTCAACCAGCAGGACAAGCACCCGGCCCAGAACCGTACCCTCCTGGCACGCATGTGCAAGGATGACCTGTCCTACTACTCCTACGTGGAGATGGACCTGCAGTGCCGGGAGCCCGGTGACCACGGTGACCCCGAGGGCTCTCCTTTCGGTACCTGCCTGGCAGCCTCTGTAGCTTCACCAGGTGCCAGCAGGGTGCTCTATGCTGTGTTCAGCAGGGATAGCCGGAGTGGCAGGGGACCTGGGGCTGGTCTTTGCCTGTTCCCGCTGGACGAGGTCCATAACAAGATGGAGTCTACCCGTAGCGCCTGCTACACGGGGACCCGGGACACAGGGCGTGACATCTTCTACAAGCCCTTCCACGGCGATATCCAGTGTGGCGGCCACTTGCCGGTAGGTCTCCTCTTCATCCGTGCCTAGGCATAGGTGCATGCTAGCTGTGTTGCTATCGGTCCAATGGGTGCTGGCTTGTGTGACAGGGTACATGGATAGGATGCCCACTGCATGGGCCTTTGGTCTTGGGGATGTGTGTGGGACTGTGTGCCTGAGGGCAGTGACCTCCTTGCCCACCACTGATATTCTGGTCTGCAGGGTGCCAGTAAAAACTTTCTCTGTGGCTCGGAACATCTACCTTACCCACTGGGCAGCCGTGATGGCCTTAAAGCCACTGCCATGCTGCAGCGCGGAGGCCTGAATCTGACAGCTGTGACAGTCACCGCTGAGAATGGCCATACGGTGGCTTTCCTGGGCACCTCTGATGGCCGAATCCTCAAGGTGAGGCTCCATGCCCCAGCAGGGAGGCTCCTGAAACTGCCTGTGAGCCTGGCCCTGCCCCACTCACCTGCCCTTGTACCACAGGTGTACCTTTCCCCAGATGGTACTTCTACAGAGTATGGCTCCATCCTTGTGGAGCTCAACAGGAAGATCAAGCAGGACCTGGTGCTGTCTGGAAACCTGTCCAGCCTCTACGCCATGACCCAGGACAAGGTCAGCCTTGACATGGGCCGGGGGGCCCCAGGTGACTGGCCTGAGGTTGTGCACGAGGGATGGGCAGCCACCGCCACCAACCCTGTTCCTTGGCTGTTTCTATTTCTGTCCAGTGCCTCTGCTACAGCCTTCCCTCTGGTCCTGTCCCACCTTCTGGTAGAAGGGCCTGGCTCGGTGTCTGTAGTGTGGGCTTGCATTTGGCCACTGGGCCACAGCACTGGCCCTGAACCTGCAGGGGTTTGGAGTAGGTGCCTGGTAGAGGGAGGGGTGCAGAGGCCTGGACCGAGTTTTCCTGGCACTTGCTCACAGCCCTGCTGTCCCAGGTGTTCCGGCTCCCAGTGCAGGAGTGTCTCAGCTACTTGACCTGTGCGCAGTGCCGGGACTCTCAGGACCCTTACTGTGGCTGGTGTGTCGTTGAGGGACGGTGAGCACCTTGGCCTCGTTACCCAGGGGACACAGCCCTGTCCTGGGGAGGCTGAGATCCCACCTGGGGAACAGTGGGTGCCGGGCCTAAGGCTGCCTCTGTCCTCACAGGTGCACCAGGAGGACGCAGTGCCCACGGGCTGAGGAGACCGGCCACTGGTTGTGGAGCCGGGATAAGACCTGCGTGGAGATCACAAACACCCAGCCTCAGAACATGAGCCGGAGGGCCCAGGGAGATGTGCGTGGCAAGGTTGAGCTGGGGGGGGTGCGGGCAGAGGCACGTCCAAGAGGGCCCCTCATCCCTGCTGCTGCTCAGGGGGACCCTGGCCCATCGCCCTGCCAGCCTGCACTGGGACCACTGTAGAACGGGCAGGAAAAGCACAGCATTCTGGGGTCCTTCTCTGCAAGGCTGGGCAGAGGGTGCTGGGGCCCAAGGGCTCCTGGTGCCAGCCACTGACCCCTCCCTCAGGTGCGGCTGACTGTCAGCCCCCTGCCGGCCCTGACCAGTGATGACAAGTTGCTGTGCCTCTTTGGTGACTCACCGGCCCACTTTGCCCGAGTGGATGGGGACGCCGTCATCTGCATCTCCCCAAACAGCATCCCCAGCACACCGTCAGGCCAGGGTGAGGCTCTAGCTCTGGGGCAAACAGGACCCCTTTCCAGAGTGCACTATGCTTCTGCCATTCCTGTGGGTGCCAACCTCTCGGTCCCCGTGTGTGGGCTGGTGCTGGAACGCACATGGCTCTGAGGGGCCCAGCCCAAAGCCCGTGGGTAGGGGGTATCCGGGGGTGGTGTGGGTGCCTCTGGGGTCAGTGCCCACCACAGAGCAGAAGGGCTTCCTGAGCACTGCAGTCTGACTCCTGCTTGGCTATCTGTTATGTGCAGTGCCAGGGGTTGGGCCCCTTCCACTCTCATCCCTTACCCTACCCTAACCTACTCTTCTGCCTGAGATAGCTGGGCTCTCCCCAGAGACCAGCCTGAATGTGGGTCAGGGCAGGCGCCATACCCTTGGCCCCCAAGTGACGCGGGCAGGGACCTGACAGGGCCTCCTGCCCAGACTTGGAGGAGCCGCTGCCCTCCCTGTGGTACAGAGAGAGGTGCAACAGCAGCCAGGCCCCTGGGAGAAAGGCGAGCCTGGTCCCGGGAGCTGACACCTGAGAAGGGCTGCCCCTGCCCTCCTGAACCCTACTCTGCTCAGCCTCTTCTGGGCAGGCGTGGAGTTGGCACCTCCAGGCCCCACCTGTCCCCTGCCCGTCCTCC